CAATGAGGCCTCAGGAAAGATTTATTGGGCAACTGTAGGAAATGTACTTCCTTCCTCTTCTGAGAGCACTTCCAGAAGCGCCGTGGTTCTCCCGGACGTGTGGGCCGAGGGCGGGACCCTCACGCAGCCCCTGGGCAGAAGGTCTCCAAGGAGTTTGGAAGGAGGAGGCCCTTGGGAGACAGATGAAAATGGAAGGCCAGTGTTACAGCAAGAGTACAGCCAATGTTACGGCTCCTGACCAGGAAAAGAGCTGAGCGGCACATGGAGACGCGTCGGGGAGCAGCCTTTTATTTCTCCAGCAGACTCAGCACAGCCAGTGTTACAGTTCTCTTCCCATCTTCTGGCTCCCCTTCCTTGTTCTCCTCTTGCTTTCTTTTTTTTTTTTTTGAGACAGAGTCTCGCTTTGTTGCCCAGGCTACAGTGAGTGCCACGGCGTCAGCCTAGCTCACAGCAACCTCAAACTCCTGGGCTCAAGCAATCCTTCTGCCTCAGCCTCCTGAGTAGCTGGGACTACAGGCATGTGCCACCATGCCCGGATAATTTTTTCTATATATTTTTAGCTGGCCAATTAATTTCTTTCTATTTATAGTAAAGACTGGGTCTCGCTCTTGCTAAGGCTGGTTTCGAACTCCTGACCTTGAGCAATCCACCTGCCTCGGCCTCCCAGAGTGCTAGGATTACAGGCTTGAGCCACCACGCCGGGCCTCCTCTTGCTTTTATACCCTTGGTAGGGCTCAAAAAGCGTCCAATCAACTACAAGCTTTAGCATCCAATCAGCAACAAGCTTTAATATCCAATCAGCAACAGTGGGACTCAAAAATTACCCAATCAGGATCACGCGAGCAGCGCAGCCTTATGACAGGAGGCAGGCAGCGGAGCATCGAGCACAGGCCAGGACAGGGGACATTGGCGCCGGGCTGGACAGCACGGGAGGGGCCCACACAGCACCACCGTCCCTCGTCCCTTGGGGATGCAGAGTGGCGGGGAGGCAGCAAGCAGCCTGGTCCCGGCACTTGATGCTTTCCACGTCACCAGAAAGCTCCTGGCTTTAACCTATCCTCTTACTGCTTTGGGAGAGAACTGCCAGATACACCTGTACAGCCCGGAGTGTGGTCTGGGGTGACCACAGAGACAGGGCCGTGAAAGGAAGAGAGACTGTGCTGTTGCCACCCGCTTGGTACTGCCCACGATGTTGGGGGTGAAAATACTTGCAATTTAGGCCTGACCAGGGAGGGAGCAGTGGCCCGTGGCATGCTGGGAGTGATGGAAGGAACCCAGGATGCCCGGATGCCCCGGTGCACGTGCGACCTTTCTAGAGGTTTCACACCAGGAGTAATTTGCAAGATATTTTAATGGTCAGTATGGCATGGATGAGAATGGATGGCAGCAATAAACAACAGGTACATCTCTACCGTGCAAGTGGGTTAACTATCAGCCCTGATCACATCTTTCATCTTTCCACTTACAAATATCATTGGCTGGGTCTCAGTCACGTGACCACACATAGCTGCAAGGAAGGCTGGGAAACCTTATCTTTATTTTGGACAGTCATGGGTCCAAATGTAAATCAGAGGTTTTATTAGCAAGGGAGAAGGAGAGGGCACTTACAGTGGGACAGCCAGTGCCTCTGCTGTACTATCAAAAACACTTAGAGCCCCGTGCAGTGGCTCACGCCTGTAATCCTAGCTCTCTGGGAGGCCGAGGCGGGCGGATCGTTTGAGTTCAGGAGTTCGAAACCAACCTGAGTAAGAGCGAGACCCCGTCTCTACTATAAATAGAAAGAAATTAATTGGCCAACTAATATATATACAAAAAAATTAGCCGGGCATGGTGGCGCATGCCTGTAGTCCCAGCTACTCGGGAGGCTGAGGCAGCAGGATCGCTTGAGCCCAGGAGTTTGAGGTTGCTGTGAGCTAGGCTGATACCACGGCACTCACTCTAGCCTGGGCAACAAAGTGAGACTCTGTCTCAAAAAAAAAAAAACAAAAAAAACAGGAGGACTCTTGGTACAGGTCTGCGAGAGTTTTTCAAATTTCCTTGAAAACAAGTATTTTTCATAAATCATTAGGCAGCAGAAATATGACCTTAAGTGTCTGCTCCATTTGGAGTGAACATTCATACGTTTGCTGCAGATATATGTGTTTGATTATGAGGTGCTGTTCCAGATCCTTCTAGGGTGTTTTAGGGGAGTATGTACACACACACACACGCACACACGGTATATAGACACATACATATCTATGTATACATACAGTATTACCTTTATAAAACCTAAATAAGTTCTGAATTCGAAGCACATTTGCCCCCAGAATTTCGGATAAATAGGGTTATCATACATCCCAGTTTGCTTAGGACACTCCTCATTTACAACTGTAGTTCTGGTAAAGCCATTGGTAACTCCAAGCCCCCCCCTTCCAACTTTCACTTTCAAAATTGCCCAGTTTGGCTGATAAATTGTACAGTCAACCTGTGGGTAAGGGATTGTGAATCTGTACAACTTAAGTTCTCCATAGATGGTGGCAGCTAGTAACATTCCCAAGTAGAGCTCCTATAGAGCCTATTTATGTGCAAAGATAGCTAAATGTGTGTGTGTGTGTTTTAAGTAGCTATTCAGTTCCTCGTGGCTACACAGTACCCTCATCCCTGTTTTTTGGCTCCGTTCTTTATGAATTGGCTTCCAAGTTAGTGAGGCAGCCGGCGTCATCCTAGCTGCCCCTAAGTGGTCACAGGCTTGGAAGTTGGAGGCAGTGAGCACTAAATCAAGGCTGCTTTACTGAAGCCGGAAAACGACTAGCACATTCTGAGCCTCGACAGGCTTTTCTTTCCTTTATTTATGGTGAATTTAAAAATAGGTCTGGAGATGGCTCTTGGCAGCTCAATTCCATGCACGATCTCCCCTCTCCACAGCAGAGATGGGAGGAACACAGCTGACTGCACAGGCCTTTTCTTGATTTGAGGTTCTTCCTCCAGGTTCCACAGTGAGGACCTCGAGTCCTCAGTGACTGGCGCCAGTGTCTGTCTGAGCAGGGCCCGCCCTGAGCAACACTGGAGAAGGTCCCTTTCTGTCCCCTCCCCGCCGCGTTCTCTCACCATACCCGCCAGACTTACCCTCTTCCTCTTTCCCACGCAGAGCACAGGGTAGTATTTTCCCCAGCTGGGATCCTCTTCACTTGCACCTGGGGTGTGTATGAAAATGCGATTGCTGAGTCCTGCCCCCGGGGGAGTGATTGAGGAGTCTGGGGCCAGGCCCAGGAATCCGCATTTTTAACTAACCCTACCCCCCCCAGTGATTCTGAACAGCAGCCTGCTTTAAGAAACACTGTTTATATAGTGCAGTGAATAAGAACTTTGGAATAGGACAAAGCTGAGTTCAAATCTAACTAAGCTTCTCTAAGTCTCAGTTTGCCCAAAGTGTGAAAATTGAATAAAATAATGTATTTAAGATGCCTGTGATGGCGCGGCCTCGAGCGTGGCTCACCCTTATCCGTAGCTTCTGGGGCGACGGGCGGGGTGATCATTTGATGTCAGGAGTTAAAACAGCATGAGCAAGACGAGACCCGTCTCTACTATAAATAGAAAGAAATTAATTGGCCAACTAATATATATAAAAAAATTAGCCGGGCATGGTGGCGCATGCTGTAGTCCAGCTACTGGGGAGGCTGAGGCAGAGGATCCTTGAGCCCAGGAGTTTGGAGGTTGCTGTGAGCTAGGCTATACCACGGCACTCACTCTAGCCTGGGCAACAAAGGGACTCTGTCTCAAAAAAAAAAAAAAAAAAAGAAAGACCAAAAACTGATTCTCCAGCGTGGAACCTCAGTGTAAATATTTTGGGGAACAGGACAGGTCTTCCTAGCCCCTGCAGATTGTGCCTGCAGGATTTCCAACAGAAAAATTTAAAAACCGTTTAAACCCGTTCCTTTTCCCGTTCGTTGGCCAAGATGCTTTGCTCCCCCTCTTTGAAAATCAGATTGGGCTTGGGTCTATCGTGATACCGAGAACTAGCCGATTTAGTCTGTAGCTTTACTTTGTGATAGGAAATGCAGCCTATGGAAGGAGAGGTTAATGATTGAATATGTTTCTTGCTTGGTCATATGCATCAGTGTGGTTTTTAATATATTTACTCACGCGCCCATTGGCTGTTGGGCAGGTTGATTAGGATGCATAGTGAGCTCAAATCTATTGGTAATGTGCATTGAGGCTCCTCATGGGTGACCATGGGCTTGCTTGCGTGCCATGTCACCTAATTGCTTACCCGATACCAGGGGAGAAGCCTCAAAACAGTGGCAAAAGGACCACCTTGGCATGAATGCTGACAGGGCTTCTCCAGATATTTAGTGACAACCAAAGTAGTTTTATCTCTTGTGATGTTCGGCAGGTATTTTGCAATCAACACATATTTGTCAGTTGCTTGATTCTGTAGTTTTGTTTACCCAATTTCCCTAGAATCTAGTTCTTTTTTTTTTTTTTTTTCAGAGAGAGTCTCACTCTGCTGCCTGGGCATGAGTGCCCAGAGAGCCATGGCATCAGCCTAGCTCACAGCAACCTCAAACTCCTGGGCTCAAGGCAATCCCTCTGCGCCTCAGCTGCCCGAGTAGCTGGATCAGCGAATGCATACACATTGCCCCGCTAATTTTTCTCTATATATTTTTAGTGTCCAGCTAATTTCTTTCTATTTTTAGGTAAGACCAGGGGTCTTGCGCTCTTGCTCGGCTGGCCCAGAACTTGCCATGAGTCAAACGTCTCGCGGCCTCGACCTCCCAGAGTGCTAGGATTATAGGCGTGAGCCACCATGCCTGGCCAGGAATCTAATTCTTGATTCTGGGAGAGGCATGAAAGGGGAGAGGTGAACTGTGGGATTAGATAGTAGTTTATAGTTCAACTTCTATATTTCTGCTGTATTGTGTGGCAATATGGCTTAATGAGAGAGGATGGTCTTTGGAGTTTGACACTTGGTTTCAGGTCTTGCCTCCACCATGTTATTAATGAAAATAAACTGTCAGTGGCTTAACACAGTGAAGGTTTATTTCATCCTAGTCATAGTGCAATGCAAGTAGCAGAGGGTGGGGTGGAGGGTGCTCTGCTCCATGTCGTCATTCAGGAACCCAGGCTCCTCCCATCTACATCACATGTCTTCATGGTGCCCTGGGTCATCCAGATTGTGATGTAGAAAGGGGAAATGGAGGATCATCTGCAAGGCCTTTATGGGCCCAGTCTAGAGGTGGCAAAAATCACTTCTGTCCCCATTTCATTGGCCAGAACTTAGTCACATGGCCTGCCTAACTGCAAGAGGACTAGGAAATGTAGTTTAGCATGTGACTAGAAAGAAAAGGAGAAAATGAATACTAATGAGCATTTGGAGGTTCTGCCACAACCATTCATCAGCTTTGTGACCTTGGGCAAAAGGCTTTAACTGTCTTAGCCTTAGTTTCCTCATTTGTACAATGGGGGTAATACATACCTGATGGGACCATTGTGAGGCTTAGAGAAGGTAATATACATAACATGCTTAATACAAGCTGTGCCCTTCCTATTTTATTTTATTTTATTTTATTTTATTTTATTTTTGAGACAGAGTCTCACTGTGTTGCCCAGGCTAGAGTGAGTGCAGTGGCGTCAGCCTAGCTCACAGCAACCTCAAACTCCTGGGCTCAAGCAATCCTCCTGCCTCAGTCTCCAGAGTAGCTGGGACTACAGGCATGTGCCATCATGCCCGGCTAAGTTTTTTCTGTATATATTAGTTGGCCAATTAATTTCTTTCTATTTATAGTAGAGACGGGGTCTCGCTCTTGCTCAGGCTGGTTTCGAACTCCTGACCTTGAGCAATCTGCCCGCCTCGGCCTCCCAGAGTGCTAGTATTACAGGCGTGAGCCACCGCGCCCGGCCCCTTCCCATTTTAAATACATGGATGAACACTTTTTCCTTCCTGGGGCAACTCCAAATATCGACTAGTTGGAAGCTGGCCTTGGCAGACCCTTATCTGATTGGGGGACCCAGATCAGCACACACTGCTCCTGTCACCTGGGAGTGGAGGGTTCAGCTTGGGTGATCCCCTCAGGGAAGCGGGAGGTGGTCCCTGAATCTTGGGGGAGTTTGTTTTAAGGTGTTTTCAAAGCTCGTGTTGAGGTTGTGCTGGAGTATTACCTTAACAGCCAGGAAGCGCTGTCCTCCAGTTAGCTGGAGAAAGTACCAGAATAAAATTACTCTCATGGTGGCTTTAAGCATTTGTGTTAGTAGAAATAAAAACCTTCTGATGAAACTAGTAAACTATTGGAAAAATTTTGGAAGACTCTCTCCTTCTCTTGAATTCTTTAGGAAAAGGTCAATTTCTACCTTTTGGGGTTATTTAGGACATCCCTGGTTAAATTCTGAAGAAGGGGCTGTGGCTTCTGGGGCCACCTTCCTCTCTCCTGTCCTTTTCTTCCTCCTTCAGGAAATGAGGTGCCTAAGCCTTTGTGCCTGAGTTGACCCGCCCCTGCGCTGTCTTCCAAGACCTTCTTTGGAAGAATATCTGGACTGCCTAACTCCCCCCCCACTGCAGGTTCCAGAACATTCTGTTCACTTGATCTCCCATGCCCAAGATGGCCATGCCCAAAGATGACCAAGTACAGGAGGGCCTGTGCAGGAGATTCAAGGCAAGAGGAGAGTAGTGACGCGCTGTCATGGGAAGTGAGATAGAAATAAAACGCCCCTGTTTCCTAAGAGGCAGTAATGCCCAGGTGCCCTGCCCTCCAGTGTGCACACTGTCGGCTGGTTCTGACAGGGCAGGTGGCCGAATCAGGGCTCAGAGTCAAGAGAGGAGAAAGGAGGGGAAGGCTGGGAGGCCAGGTGCTTTTTCTTCCTCTGCCTTCTGCTGGGTGGCTCAGAGACACACATGGAAACCAGACTGTGCTCCTTCCTCTGAATGACTTCCAGCTGCATCCCTCCCCCACTCCCTGCTGAAAGCCACTCTATTTTTATATTTCTCTTGGGAAGTAGATTCCAAAATTTCCCTAAGGCTTCCCATCAGGGGAGCCTCTGATTTCCTGTAAATCCAGGGTCACATAGTTTTCTAGAGTCATTTGCATGCAGTTTGCATACATTAGCATGCCACCAAGTTCTGGGCTCTGAGTCAAAGCAAGCCAGGGAGTGAATGCAAATAGGCTCCAGTTTTTGAGGCTCCTGCGAAGTGGCCGAGGAAGGCAGCCTCCACCTCAGAGAGAGCCACAGCCCTGAGTTGCAGACAAGAGGCCTCATCCTCCCCTTGGCCTGGAGATCCTCTCCCCGGGCCTGCCACGGGGTCCTCTGTTGGCTGGACCCTGAAGCTTCATCCTCAATGTGTTGGAGCCTGGGAGAGGGGACTGGAGTCACGTGGTGGGTGTGTCACTTGTGTCTGGCAGGATAGGAGTTGCAGTGAGGAGAGATCCTCAGATCTGAGAAAAATCGAGAAGGTGGAAGGGAGGCGGGAAAGAGCAAGGGATTGGAGGAAAGACAGTGTGGGAGGAAGGGAGCCAGCTGGGGACAGGGTGGGAGCAGGTATAGAAGGAGAGGGACACAGTCTGACTGGAGATTGAGACAGCCCATGAGGAGGGAGGCCTGGAGTAGGAAAAGCTGGGTGGGTAAGTAGAGGCAGTAATGGTGGGCAAGCGTCGCCTGGCTAGTTGAGAGTGTAGACTGGACGTGGAGACCTAGGAAGTCAGCGATCAAGCTTAGAGAGTGTGTGGCCAGGCCGTTTCCCCGGGGCCACTCCTTGTCAGGCAGGTGCTAGACTGGCGTTTCCTGCACCTGCCTGGAAAGTGCAGGTGCAAGTGCACATCCCTTTGGTCTGTCCTAGGATTGTCTGAGGTGTCATCACAAAGCCTGAAAATGCAGATGACAGATTTTAAAGTGACTCCAAGTGCAACACATGACAGTGAGATGGGACTCCAGGCTGTTTTTCTAGAAGGAACAAGCTGCCCTACCCATGCATGCAGCTCATTCTCCCTGTGGCCAAGATACTTCTGTGTCTGAGTGCAAGGCAGTGCCTATGGCAGGAATGGAGTGGTCCCCCCGCCAGGGGAGAGGGTGGTACCTGGTAGGGTACCCGGTGCTCTAAGCCTGTGTTCCCCACCCCTCCACCAACCCCCTCCAGGCCGCAGAGCTCAGACCCCCACAACGGAAAAATTGTCTTCCATGAAACTGGTCCCTAGTGCTCAAAAGGTTGGGGACTGCTGCTCTAAACCATGGAGTTCATTGCTGACTTGTCCCAGTGTAGGTCAGAAACCTTCTAAAGCCATGTACTCCCCAGAGTCAGCCCAGGAGTGTGGGCTGTGTCAGTCCCTTGCGATTTAATGCTGGCTCCACCACTGGATGCCTTGGGTAAGTTCTTCTAGCTCCTCTGTGCCTCAGTTTCCTCACTTAGAAAATGGTGACAATAATGCCTACTTCATTGTGGAGAAGGAACTAAACATGATTATCCCTGTAGAGTTCTTAGAACAGCGGCTGGCAGAGAGGAAACACTCAGTAGGCTCCACCACCATTGCACACTGCAACCCCAAATGAGATGCAATAAAAAGATGCAGAGCTCGGGGAGAAGCAGGGGATGGGCTCCCAGTCCCCTGGCTCTGTGCCCAGCGTGGCAGCTGCCCCTTAGGGTCTCAACGTGAGTTGCTGCAGCTACAGCAGCAGGCTCCTGGACAAGGGCCAGGCACGGGCTCTGGCCAACCACAGGTTGGGAAATCACCCTGTTAGCTAACGATGTTTCTTCTGGTTTAGTGATTTTTCTTCCCTTTTAAAGTTTTCCTTTCTTTTTTTATTTTTTTTTTATTTTCCTCCAGGAGGGGAGTATAAGGAAAAGCAATTGCCCTTTTCTTTGTTTGATGGGAAGGAACACATGGGCTAGAGGGAGGGACCCCAGCGAGAGGAAAGGCAGGGGACCCTCCATGGCTTGTGTCTGCCACTCCCCAGAGAGGGCCCCTGGGAAGGGTCTGTTGAACTTGAACCTGTGGGCAGGAGGCACTAAAAATTATTAGCTCTGTCTCTCCTTATCCTAAGCCTCTTAGAGCTAATGGAGATCTCTAGGAGGAGGCCAGGAGGAGGGACGTGTGGAAGGATGGAATGCCTTGGCCACAGTCGTGTCTGGATGCACGACTAGAAGGACTTTAGTGCGGAAATATGCCCAGCTTTGCTAGACTGGGATACCCAGAAACAATGAGACACAGCCACGCCCTGCAGAGGAGGTTACAGGTTATACCAATTAAAATAATTATGTCAGTCCCTTCTTATCAATAGATCTCCACAGAGACCCTTTCTCCCTCTGCCCCAGGCACACAGAAGCCTTGGGACTCCACGGTGATGTCCCTGAAACTACACCCAGGTGGCACTCTCAGTTTATCCAGTTTATCACCAGTTTGCAGAGCTGCTGTCTTGGGACTGAAAGCAATGAGCTAGTGGATTAAAAAAAGTCCTGAGAGGCTACTTAAAGATTCATTCTGTATGTCACTATTTAGATCCCAGAGCAATGTGCCAACCTCCAGCCTCACTCTTCCCCCCAAGATCCAGCTGCTGATGCTGTGTGTGGGGTGGTTGGTGGCCCAGCTTGGGACGCCCCTACCCTACCCCTACCCCTACCCAGCCCCTGCAGCCTCTGGCCAGAGCTTCCGCCTGCTTGGAGCTGTTGTCAGAGGAAACAGACTTTAACATAACAGAGCTGCTATCTCTTGGGCCTGGCCACAGAGTTGCGTTTTCTTGGCCTGTTTCACCCCAGGTTTATCTTCAGCCAAACTTCAATCATCATCAGCTAAATTCACCATTCTTGGATGCTCAGAAAACTTTAAAACTGGTCTGCAGGCTGCCAGTCGATGTTACAGTTCAGAAAATCATTGGACTTTAGGGTCAGAAAGGAGCAGCGGCTGCATCTGGGGTGCATGGGGGGTTTGCAGGGGCTGCTTGCACCGATCCTGACTTGCTCCATTCACAACACGCCTTCCCCAACCCTCCTCTGTCTCTGAAGGCTGGGACCAGGGCCAGGGCCGGCACCGGCCTCTCTGGGCATTGGTTTCCCTCCTTGATTTAGAGGCCTAAGGACATCGAAATGGTGAGGCAATAAATGTGAAACAGAAAGAAGTGGCTTTAGTTCCAGTCAAAAATGGAAAGGAAGCTGTTGACACTCTTTGAGGTCCACTATAGGTTTTATTTTATGCTGTGCTGGCCAGAACTCTGCCTCTTACTTGAAGTAGGACTTTGGGAGAGTCCCTTCTTTCGGCCTCAACTTCCTCATATGTAAAGTACATCTGGGATTAGTCAAGAAAGACTTTTCCAGGCCTGACATGCTGCGGTAGGCATCCCAATAATCTCTTTAG